AAATTAAGTGCATACATTTTCTTTATCCTGAAGAGCTTGAGAATTTTTATATGTATCATTTCCCATCTCTAACCATTCTTAATAAAAATATTTTATCAGAGTATTGTTTTCCTTGATGGTATCCTAAAATAATAAGAGTGGAATAAATGTCATTTCAACTTAAAGATGAAAAAACTAAAGTACTGGGAAGGCAATGTGTATTTTCTAATTTAGCTGAGTACTTTAGTGTTAATGTTGTTAGACATATCGGTATGGGAAATTCACTGTTTATGACCTAAGAGACTGAGCATTAATTTATTACTAACATGGATGTTACCTTATTGAGTACAAACTATAAAAGCAGAACCACGTTCTGATCTATGTGCATTTTATATTATGCATAAACCTTCAAAAAAGTATTTACCAAATGTCTTTCAAGGGTCAAAACTATGGTAAACACTAGGGGCACAGTCATGAGTAAGAGAGTCATGGCAGCGTCCTCCCAGTGCTCACCATCTAGACCAGCGCTGCCCAATCAAAATATAGTGTGATCCATGAATTAATTTAAAATTTTCTATAGCCACATTAAAAAAGTAAAAAGAAACAGGTATAGTTAATTTTAATACTGTGTTTAACCCAATACTATCAAAAATATACCATTTCAACATATAATGAACATAAACATTTTTGATATACTAAATTCTTTATTCAATCTAAGCCTCAAAGTCTGGTGTGCAATTTGTATAGATGGCACCTCTCCATTTGGAGCAGCCACATCTTAAGAGCTTCACAGACACACGTGGCTCATTGCAACTGTATTGGACAGTACAGGTCCAGGGGAAAAGATGAATAGTAAGCAAGCATGAGAACAGCATAAATGCTATAGGGGGGAATGCAGTGCTATGGGAGCACAAAGGACAGAATCTTAACTAATCTGTGTAGGGCTGGGAAAAACTTCCTTAAAGGATGTGACACATCAATTAGGTTCAAAAGAAGAGCTGACATTAGCCACAGGAAAGGGTCAGTTTAGGGAACCTTCGGGGAAGGAATACCGTACATAACACTGCATATGTGTTAGATATTTATATGAAAATTTCTAGTAGTTCTGAATAGTATGTATAGTCAGTGAAGTCCTACAGGTTCTTTTGGGAATTATCTTATAAATAACTAATTTGGTAATTTACAAAGTAATTCATGGTAGTTGTAAGTCCTCTGCTCCAACCTGGAGCCTCAAACCTGTCTTCTGGAGATTGGAAGAATAGTGGAACCATAGTTATTTGTACTGGCAAAAGGCACTAGGCTTTAGGTTTTATAAATATAGCTTAATAACTTGAATTATTATATAATTCCACCAAGTAAATTGTGATTACAAGTGTGGTGATCTTTCTTGTCCTAATGGCTTATTAACTTTTTGAAAGCAAAGGAAATGATTTATATATTCACCCATACATGGATTTTACTATATGTCAGGAACTGTGGCATATTTCCCAGAGTGCTTGATAATATTGAACATATTTAGTGTGAATTTATTCAGAACCAGAAAAGGCATTCAAATATAGTCACTGCATATTATAGCCTGCCAAAATACATATTGGTCAAATAAAGATACGGCTTAGGAACTGTACTGGGTTGAATACTGTCCCCCAAAGTTCATGTCCAGGGAACCAGTGAATGTAACTTTATTTGGAAATAGGATCTTTGCAGATATAGTCAAGCTAAAAGGAGTATATACTGGATTAGGGTGGGCCCTAAATCAAACATGACTGGTGTTCTTATAATAAGAGGGAAATCTGGACACAAAGACAGATGCACAGGGAGACTATCACATAATGATGGAGGCACAGACTTAGCGATGCCTCTGTAAGAAATACCAAGGACTACTGGCAATCACCAGAAACTAGGAATACTCAAGGAAGCATTCTCGCCCAGAGCCCTGCTGATACCTTGGTTTTGGACCTCTGGCCTGCAAAACTGTGAAAGAATAACTTTTTGTTGTTTTAAGCCATCTAGTGTGTGGTACTTCACTACAGCAGCACTACTAATACAGGAAATTAACACAGGAACCTTCTTGGGCATGCCACTGCTTCCCATAATTCCTTCATGAAGTAGCTCTCTTAAGAGACTTCTATTTAATGTACTTGACAGATTAATCCCTTTCTCTACTAAGCAAATTGTCTCAGGGTTGTAGTCCACTCTCTAGCGTTCCATACAGTACTGCTCCCACCAAAAGAGCAGTATGCTCACAGCCCAGAGCGCTCACTACTGCCATCACATAATTTAATCAAATAGCACAGGAACTCGTGAAATATGAATGCAAAAAGAAAGACAGCTGCTATTTCCATGAGTACTAAGTTGGAGACTGGAAATTTTTCTCTTGATTAAGGTGAGTCATAAAAAATGAAATCATTTGACATGAGTGAGGTAAGTATTAAGATAAAAATAATGAAAATCTAGAAACTATGCCCATTCAGATTGCTTCGTAAGTACCTTTAAATCCTTACTTCATTTTAGTAAAAATAATATCACAGCTTGTAGAAGATATGCCATAGGTATGGTTTATACAAGAATGGACTTCATGGGACGGCGATCAGGCCCCAGCCACGTGTCTCTGTCTCTGTCTCTATATATATAATTCTGTAATTCTTCACTTGAATCAACTTTTTCTATTAGCCACACAGTCATAACTTCAGACTACTTTAAGTAGAGGTTTATTACACCATGTTTTTATTCCGTCACTTATTAGCCTGTAAGTTTCATGTACACAGAGAGGCTCTGAGTTGTTCCCCTTGTACCTTTAGTTCCCAGTAAAATG